CCAGCTTGGTGGCTCTCCTCTGGACACGCTCCAGCACTTCAATGTCCTTCCTGTAGTGAGGGGCCCAAAACTGAACACAGCCCTCGAGGTGAGGCCTCACCAGTGCCCAGGACAGAGGCACGATGACTTCCCTACTCCTGCTGGCCACGCTATTCTTGATACGAGCCAGGATGCCATTGGCCCTCTTGGCCACCTGGGCACACTGCTGGCTCATGTTAACCCTGCTGTCCACCAACACCCCCAGGTCCTTTTCTTCCGGGCAGCTCTCCAGCCACTCTGCCCCAAGTCTGTAGCGTTGCCTGGGGTTGTTGTGACCAAAATGCAGGACCCGGCACTTGGCCTTATTAAACCTCATCCCGTTGTCCTTGGCCCATTGATCCAGTCTGTCCAGATCCCTCTGTAGAGCCTTCCCACCCTCAAGCAGATCAACACTCCCACCTAGTTTGGTGTCATCTGCAAATTTACTGAGGGTGCATTCGATCCCCTTGTCCAGATCATCAATAAAGATATTGAACAAGACTGGCCCGAGAACCGAGAACCGAGCCCTATGATGCAACACGACGTCCCCTTCTTTGGCAGGAAAGGAGGTTGCAGGTCTTAAAAAGGATGCACAACTAGGAAATGTCAGGTGGAAAAGGAAAGAGGATTAAAAAAAAAAAACCTGAAAAAGAGCCTTGGTGCAGCTGTAAGGCCTGTTAAGTTTCAGGGCCAGGTCTTACTGGTGATCCCAGTAACGGTACTGGAAACGGTGAAGCATAAAGGTCACATCTCCCCTCGCTGGGGACCCCCAGTACTGACCCAGAGATCCAAAATTTCCCTTCTGCCTGTCTTAGAGGACAAAAATGTCACAGCACAGTCGTGCCTGGGAAAAGGCCTTGTTTGAAACCCAATTGCTTAAAAGGGGTTTTTATCTCCAGCCATCAGCAGAGTTTAACAACCCCGGATCAAGTTAAACCCTCCAGCCATCCCCAACCAAATTAAAAGTGTTCAACTGTGGCTCCTCCAGAGGCCAGAGCTTTCATTAACATGGTTTTTCATTAACGTGTTTTCTTATACAACCTGCTTTCCTAATTGAGCAAACACTGGAGGAGCAACAGAAGTTGAGAGACTTGGGGACAGAGCTGACAAAGGCACAACTCTGCATCTGGGGAGATCAGATTGAGCATCCACTTGAAATTCATCTCAGAGGTTGCAGAAAGCAAAGAACAAGCTTTCTTTTTTTTCCTTAAGAATAAGCCTAAAATAGCCACAAATCAAGCAAATAGTGGGCAGAGTGAAAGCTGATCTTTGAGAAGACAGCACACGTTTCCAGACAGCTCAAGAGTGGACCGACCGATGCTGGAAGGCCCCGTACCAAAGACCTACCATTTCTAACTCCTTTATTTCCATAAAGTCACCAGATTCAGACAACAAGACCTAGAAATTAACACCTATGAGTCTGATCACGTGCCATTATGCAAGTGCTTACAGGTCTTAACTCCCACAGTTGCAAAACACCATCGATGGCTTATTTTTTCAATTAGTTTGGCAGGTCATCCCCTTCCACTTGGAGAAGCAAAAGGGCAGGATCTGAGAACGGGCTCCATCAGTTTTGCCTCATGATCCATAATTTGATTCTATGATCCCCCCAAAAGCTCCTGAGAAGAGGCCAACTTGCTCCATCGCATGGTGCTCCCTCAGACAGTGGGATACTCACTGCTGGGAGAAGGGGAAGAGGCACCAAAAACCACAGAGAATATATAAAAATAAGAAACTAGACAGGAAAGAGGAGAAGGAAGTGAAACCAAAGGTTGTTTGCAAATGGAAGGAAGACTGAAGTCACTGTGCTGGGGGTTTGGCCAGTTTATCAGCATGGGGACACATCCCAAAAGCAATGAGAAGAGAAGAACTTCAGGGCTGGTCCACCTGGCTCAGCATCCTCCCCCAAGAGAGCAGATGATGCTCTTGGATACTCTGAAAGAAAACATCAGGACAGAGTAACCTGCCTTTTCCTCCCTGCTCTCAACCCAAACCTGGGGGGTTTGGCCAGTTTATCAGCATGGGGACCCATCCCAAAAGCTCTGTTCTCAACCCAAACCTATGAAAAACACCACCAACACCCTCTTTGGGGGATGCAAAGTAACCCATCAGCTCTCACACCAGGC